TTTTACACAACTATCTGGGGTACTTTGTGCGCTTCCTATGGGGCATGGTTTAAAATATAACTGAAAGCATAGTAAGAAACAGAGCTAGATGGCAATGCGTGTCATGACGAAGCCTTGAAAAACTGAATTTCTATGGTTCCATAAGTTCAATGTTCACTTGGTATGGAAATTAAACGGTGTGAATGAGCAGGAGTACACTCTTCACCGACTCGGGAGGTAACACACTGAGTATACAGTGTTAAAAACGTCGGTGAAGGGAAAAACAAACCTTGATTTATTTCACCCCGACGCAAAAATTCCATCTTATTATAGAGTTCTTGTCAATCTCTAAAACAAGAGAAAACCAGTCAGTAATTTGTTTTAAAATATTTGGTTCACATTTCACGTGCTAGCCAGCATTGTAAAAATGTTCATGAAAGTCACGTGACATTTAATTTTTTATTTTTAACATTTTATATTTGATGGATTTTTGATATTTCACAGGCAAACTTTTCTGGGAAAAAAACACAAAAGCCCCATTCGAACAAAATCCAAGTCTTAAAGGTGTTGCCACCCTTGTTAATGGTTATCCACCATTAATATTGTTGCAGCTTGATTTTTTTTGTAAGGCCCATGCAGTAGTAGATCCGGGTTAGTGAACAATCGGAGAACCGAGTATGACATTAACTATCCACTTCCATGTTAACCAGAAATTAATGTGAATTCCCCCAATTTCTAAAAGACGAGCAACAGCCAACTGCCTTTGTCATTCTCCTCTCCACAAAAGTGGAAAAAGTTGTGTTTTTTTTCTTGGAAAGATACAAATACAAACAATGAAATTGACAGTCCAGTCCTATTTTTGCATCTTTTTTTGTCTTTTCAATCATAGAAGTATTTTATTTTCACCCTTTTGTATATTTTTCAGGTTATCGAACGAAGAATCGAAGATCCGATCTGGACATTCGTTTCATATTAAACGAGAAATCGACTTTGTGCAAAACCAATAGTTACAGCGTTTGTGAAAAAAAAATCATTTAGGAATAAGGAGAACAATCTTTTATCTGTAAATCTTTTCATTTATTGTATGGATTCCCTTACTGTATGGTAAACTTTGGTATTTTTTTATTAAATTCTTTTTACAGCCTGTGACTATAGACTTTTCTCAAACATCCTACGTGAACTGAAGATCATGGACTCTTGTAGGAGACACTCCACCCTCCCGTGGGCAATTGCTCTGACTTGGAGCATCATCTGCGTAAATGCTTTTACCACATCAGCTGAGCGGCTCGGAGACCTGTCAGACTATGAGTTGGCCAGCTTTGACAATCCTGATATTTTGGATAAAACTCAAAGACGTGCATCAAAGTTCAATCATTTTGCATTGAGTGACCATGGCGATGTGTATGTGGGAGCTGTCAATTGGTTGTACAGGTTGGAAAGTAGTTTGAAAATGATACAGAATGTTTCAACCTGTGATGACAGCAGGCCAGATAGTGTGATGCCCTGTCACCTCACAAATAACTACAACAAGATACTGGTAGTTGACAGTACCCGGCCGAACAGTCTGATAACCTGTGGCGGTGTGTATGATGGTATTTGTCAGTTACGACAGTTACAGGATATTAGTAACGTGATGATGGAGTCGGTTCCTAACGTTGCAGGGTTTGAGGACGCATCTACTGTTAGTATGATTGCTCTAGGGAAAGATGGGCAAGAAATGCTTTATGTGGCTGTTACTTATACTGGTGAAAATGTTAATGATCAAGGGAATTTTCCAACAATAGCAAGAAGAACCCTTGAAATCAATCGCTATGATCAGAGTTCTCTGTTATCAGCGATACAGCGTGACGATTCCATTTTTTTAATGACCCTGCTAAGCATACGATCTTTTCTATCAAGTATGTTGCAGCATTTGCCCACAGTGGATTCACATACTTTGTTGCATCCCAGAAGGAGGATTTGAATTCTGCCCAATTTGTTACTAAGATGAGCAGAGTATGTCAATGCGGTCCAAACCTAGACGCCTACACAGAAATTACCCTACAGTGCAGTGGATCAGATGGCAGTGTGTACAGCTTGGTGCAAGCAGCTCACTTTGGACCAGCAGGACCTGATCTAGCGGCATCATTGGGTCTCCATGCAGACGAGCAGGTGGTGTATACTGTGTTTGCCAAGAACCAAGGAGCTCCGGGTACCAGTGATGTACCCATTGATCACTCAGCTTTGTGTGTGTACAGGATGACGGATATCTTGGCTGCCTTCAGAGAGGCAGTGCGGGGATGTATTCAGGATGGAAATACGTACTCTATTAACTATTTGGAGGGTTCTTTTTGCAGTACGTTCGGGGTGAGTACAGAAGCATATTAAGAAAGATGCTGCCATTTCTCTAATTTTCTAAAATCTCTAAGCATTTCTCTGCTTTCGAGTTACACGCGTCCATCTTTCCAGATGGGGACCAGGTCCAGTGTGCGCTTCTTTGCCATAGCTATTCTACTCTGTGTAGGCCCTAAATTTGCCCCAAAAATGCAAAGCAAACCTGTCGTGTAAAGCCAAGCCCTCTGTCCCGCTTCTCCACTTCATTTCAAGGCTGAACGGTTCAAACTGTTTCTTTCTGCAATAATGGTGCAAACTATAGGTTAAACCATAGAGGATGGTTGAAAAAAGGCAACAGTCCCCTGGCTGATGCATCAATAAACACGCTATTAAAAGCACTCATTTCATCAACGAATCTCCTTAAACTTCCAGGATTCATGTGTCTTGGTAATAATTGCCACTGCCGAACCACGATATTGCTTTAACTGTTTAAACATTTTTCTTGTTTTTACTTTCGCTAAAGATTCCCATTCTGGATCGCTATTTCTGCATACCCCTGACCGATGATGCTATTCAAACGCCATTATTCCAGTACGCCAAGGGCATAGCCCCCGTTCCAACCACGGCAATTATAGAGCTGCCTGGTACTCTCATGTCGTCCATCATAATCACAATAGAATTCAACCATACAATCGCTTAATCGGGACATCGAGGGGAGATCTACTCAAGGTAAATTATCCCTAATCGATTTAAAAGTATGTGACTGAAGTCGTCGTAGAGCCTAAATTGGATTGTGTAGCAACAGTTTTATTTCAAACCATTTCGTTTACACCCCTTGCACTCGAGACTCTAGTTTTTAGCGCCATGCATTGTTTCCAGAAAGTTAGTAATTTTTTTAAAAGGAGAAATAATAAGCTATATTTTTGGTCTCTTAATAAATTGGCTTGCATGAACGACGCTGCTTAAGCATACATTCAAGGCAAGCAGTGTATGCCGGGTATACCATATGTTAATATCCACAAATCCATGTTAAACTTTTCAACTATGTACATCTAGGTGTAAACAGATGTATTTAGGTCCTATATGTCATATTGACATTAGGTTCATATGGAAAGTAGCACTGCCAGCCGACTTTATGAACGTATTGGCGTTGATACCAGTCCAGTTCTGCAAGATGTCAAGGTTAATGAATCAACACGTGTACTACTTCTCTTGACGGAACAAAAGGTAAGCACCTACCTAACCTGCCACGGAGGAGTGCTGTTAAACTAACTATCTCTGCTCCGGTTAGCTTCACTTGTGGACTTTGCATTTGCAGAAAAGAAGTCATTTATGAAAATTTATGTCATTTATGAAAAGCCATAGAAACCATGAGATACTTTTATTTAGGCCTTTAACAACTAAGAGCATAGAAGTTTGGTCAAATGAACATATTAAACATTACCTTTTTTGCTTTGTAAACTGAAAACCAGATTCAAGATTGGAAGAAAAAACAACTTTTCTGCTGAAATCAAATACTTTTTTCTCTCAACGTTAAGATTGTTAAAAAAGTAACATGTTTTACATTTTAGTTGGTGAAGCTTCGTGAGGAGAATTGTGGCCAATACACTACATGCGGAACGTGTATTGGGACTGATGCAGGGAATGATGGAGACCCATATTGTGGATGGTGCACTCTGAAACGAAGGTAAGTCACACGGGGTGTCTCCAAAGTGTGTGAGTGGGTCGTTGGAGAAGTTGTAAGAACGGTAGTCTATCACCACTCAGACGGGGTGCAACATGTATGAAGTGTCTTAGATCTAATGCATTAATGATGTAGGTAAAACTACACGTTGTGCACCCTGAAATGGAAGTAATTTATTGGGAGAGTTCATACGGCTGGTAAGTTTAGTTGTGGATTATGTCAGTGAAAGAACTTTTTTTTATTTATATGACTAATATAGAGTTCAAAGAGCTTATTCATTGTATGGTTGTCCGATGTTAAAAAGTAAATGGAATTCGTACGATTCATCAAATTCATTGGTGACTTAGCGATGTTTCTCAATAAAATCTAGAAAGTAGGGCCTTTCCTGTTTTTCCGTTTTGGTGTTTGCTTTGGATGACTGTCGACTACCAAGCTATGCTCACCATGTGATAACATTGAATTCTTCCCCAGATGTACGAGATATTCAGACTGTCCATCAGCTGATGTATCTACTCGATGGTTGGCCTACAATGCTGCAATTAATATTACTGATGTAGCTCCCTATGATAACCTGCCAATTACAGTCACTGAGCAACAGGTGAGAGACAGATGTATTGAAATTACATCTAACTTGCAGATTTGTTATGGAATGATCCAGAAGTAGGGGGGGATGGGGGGTACGAGACCAAACCCAATAATCTCGCCCCCTCTCTCTCTCCCTTTGGCCACGCCCCCCACCCGTCCCCTCCCAATGATCTCTGCCCCCTGGCCCGTCTCTACCCCCTCTTGCCCCCTCTCAATGATCTCCCTCCCCCTCCCAATCCAAATATATCTCTCCTCCCAATATCTCAGTCTCAGCCCCAGCCCAAAACCGGGGGCCCAATTTAAGATGTATTTTTTTTATTTTTGATCTTGTGTTAAAAAATAAAATACGACTTATCTACTTTAACCTTGACTTGCACTTCCTTGCTCCATGGGGTGACGCTGAACTTTTGCACCTATTTAAATTCAATGAGTCGTGAATTGCTTTTGTTAGTTGGGGCCGCATGCATATGACTCATATCCCATACGTCAGAAGCAAACAATGGTTTAGGAATGCATGGGTGTGCATACGTCAGAGCAAACAATGTTCCTATATAAGTGAGATACCCCTTACAGCACTGCCAGAAGCATACAAGACAGAGTTTAGTGACGACAATCAACATTACACTGGCTTTATTTTCAAATATGGAGCCAACTCTATCTTTGCTAAAAGGTAAGTTTAGATCGCTGTGTATTATTTTAACATTTAGTGTGTGTACGTGAATTATGATTCAAGAATCAAACTGGCGCCGACGTGAAAACATAAGTTTAGATTATATTTGGAAGTCGTATGAAGATAGATAGTTTATGTTTAGATAGACTTGTTTGCATTGAATGGTTTTAAAAGCAGTTTGTTTATGAATAAGGTGTACGATAAATATCATTATTTATGCAAATTGTTCGATTGGGTTTACTACCCGTTGGGAGATCTCTGGTCATTTTTTAAAACTTAATTCTTGATTTGGTTTACCCCCTTTTAGAATCTATGTTGGGAATCGACAGAACGTGCTCAAGCTTTTGAAGCAGACCCAAGAAATTAAGTTAACTGTTGAAAGGTAAACTGATTTTTGACTATATTTTTAGCTTAAAGTAAGAGAGTGATAAACTCTACAGTAGGTTTTTACTCTTAAACTTATTATTTTTTTAAATATATTTTGCAGAACTGAAAAAGAAGAACTCGGACAAGAGGAATTATGGCAGAGAGGACTACAGAACATCTAACAACCAACACCCTCTACACACCACCTTCAAGCACACCGGTAAGCGACGATACAGACCCCCAGATGGACGTAGAACTACAATACACCCACGAAAAAAAGCAATACACCCATGAAGAAACGCAATATACCCACCAATGAGCAAGCAAAGACAAAAAAATAAGAGCACATAAAAAGTATCACCAAGAAATGGTAACATTTCTTGGTGAGTTAGATGAACAAGGCCCCAGCGTATATTTATCAATACCCAAAAAACCAAAAGGAAATATTCGATCTCTATTAGATAAACAAACAACGTCTAAGCTTACTGGAAATGATCTGCATCTATATTTAATTGGTAACTTAAAAGAAGACTGTTCTCAGGAAAGCCACTATCCTTTAGGTGAATTATCTGAAGTAAAAAACCTAGAGACAGCCCGTTATTATCTTGTAGCTGCCTATGATAGAGTTGCGCGACATGAGGCCCTCACAATCCGTTTTTATCTAGACTATGGAAGAGCGCTTCATATTGCTCATGCAATTCATGCTTATGAGCAACCATTACAATCCTGGGATGACTGGGTAAAAGACAACGTAGGTATCCAGCGGTCTTACGCGAATAAGCTACGCGTGATTTCACATTTATTATGTGACTATCCCTTGTTTAGGCTATTAGGACTACCATTTTACAAACTTTACAGCATAAGAAAAGAAATTAAACTTATGTTGCAAGTCTCACATATCGCCAATATTTGGAAACAAAGTACATATAGGACTACCTGATTATACATTGCTTTGTCATGACGTTAGTCGATATGGTTTTGTTTATAACCCATCGGGTACAAAATGTGTACAAAGGCACTGGTTGTCACGATAAGGCTGATCGTTATATGAATCATCAAAGTAGTTTACATGACAAGTATTCTTTTGTATTTGGTCCTAGTATGACCATTTAACAATGGAGTGTGGTTTTTGGTAAAAGGCTGATCGTTATATGAATCATCAAAGTAGTTTACATGACAAGTATTCTTTTGTATTTGGTCCTAGTATGACCATTTAACAATGGAGTGTGGTTTTTGGTAAAAGGCTGATCGTTATATGAATCATCAAAAGTATTCTTTTGTATTCGGTCCTAGTATGACCATTTAACAATCAGAGTCTATGATCTATTAAGTGTGGTGCCTAGCAACGTGAATGCTTTTTAAAAAGACTTTGATATTGTTGTTTTAAAGTTTATCATTGTTTGTAAATCTTAGTAAAATTTTGTATAAATAAATGGTTGTAAATATAATTTGTTTCTTTAAGGTTTTTTTTGTTTGTGTCTGAGTATTGTTTATCCTATAGAGGGCGCCATTTATGGGTGTGAGGGATAGCAATTATAAACAGAGGGCGGTTTTTAATTTTTATGATAAGGGGTGCTATTTATAGTCGCTAAGAGATCTGATTTTAATTTTATAAAGATAGGTGCTGTTCAATAAAAAAAACAGAGGGCGATATTTTATTTATTTAAAAATGCAATCATTTTTATTTAATTTTATTAAATAGATGTACTTTGAGACGCCACAACTTGGGGATAAGTGCGATCACCATATAATCATCGAGAATGGTTATTTAGTTTGTGAAACGTGCGGTGAAATAGTCTCGCGTTACTTTGATTTTTCGGCAGAAAATGCGCAAGAAGATCGTATCAATTGGTCAATTTTAAAAAGAAACAAAAGAAAAACTGATGAGAAACTTATTTTGTCGGTGTGTCCAGAGCAAGACTCAGAAGATGTCCAAGAAACAATCAATAAATATAACGAGCTCGTTAATTACAAAACATTGAGGGGAAATGGTTGCGTCAAACGCTCGTTAATAGCCGCGAGTTTTCATCACGTCGTTGGATTAGACAAAGAACGAGTTAGAGATTTATTTAAAGTGACTCAAAATCAATTTAATAAGGCACTAAAAAAATACGATGACCACTACAATAAAGGCGGGCCGAGGGCGTAGCCCTAAGAGGTGAAATAGAGGTATAACTCGACGGATCGCTTTCATAATGTTTAGAAACCGAGAATTTGAACTTGTAAGTTTTTCGATAAGAGATTTTTCTTCTTTTGCCAGCCGTTCGTCTACCCGTTTTTTAACTTCTTTTTCAAAGTCTGTATCGTTTTTAATTTTTTGAATCTTTGTGCTGGTTTCTGTTCTAATTTTCTGCTTAAGCTCGTTAAATTTTGCGAGCTCTCTCGTAATCAATAAGAACTCTTCGTGCGATATATCTCCGTCGTTGATGGCTTGAGACACGTATTCTTCAATCGTGTTAAGTTTGGTGTCTGCTAATATCTTAATCTGGTCGTGCTTTTTTAGCTTGGCGGATAATCGCTTAGACGCGATTTTAAGCAGAACATCTACACCAAAAGCGCCTATAAACGTTCCTTCTAGCACCAATCCAACGGGGGCTGATATAATACCCAATAGAGCGGGAATACCGACAGCCCCCGCTATAGCCCCCAATCCTTCTAATCCTATCTCTACGTAATTAATAGTGTCGATCACTCTCTTTATTTTTGTATAAGTGTGCTCTCGGTGGTCTCTCTCTTTCAAGATTAAAGATCGAATCTCTTCAATCTTTTTAAGTCTGTACACTTTTATTTCTTCGTTACTATTTAATCGGAGTACATCTCCAGAAATATCGGGGTATAACGCCTTACCATCTACACTCATGTTTTTAACATAAAAAGATTTTAAAATTAAAAGATCTCCAACTCTATCATGATACTCACACCCTTGTTGTTGATGATCTGTCCTTTTTCACCTATGATTGAAAATGTCAGTTTGTCGATTATACCGTTTTTAAGTTTTTTGAAATCCTCGACTCTATCAGGCTCGGGTTCGCGCGTACCCACGGATATGATTTTTAAGATGTCAGACGGTCGGCCATCAAAAAAGTTTTCACTCGTACTTAATTGCGGGCAGCGAATAAACAAAAATTTAAACGGATTAACGTCGTAAGACCCCGCATACACCACTTTGGGTATCAGTCTTCCTTTGGGTAAATTGAGTAATCGAGATACTTCTCTGTTTAAGCGCAATTTGAGATTTACGTCGGTTACCACCAACGTCACCTTTTTAGATTCTCTATATATTCGAAAACTTACACCGGGTATATAATTTAAAATGAAATCGAACCGATCGACGTCGTACCGACCCGGTGGTATGGTGACCGAACCGGTGACTCCGGCTGGTAACGGCGCTAAAAGACTCGGAGAAATGAAATCTAAATTATCACCAGACACGACAAGACTCCCCCGTATTGTCACACCCGCCTGTCTAATTACTCTCGCTCTAGGTTCGCTTATTGTACCTTCGATATATTCTAGCGCTATCTTTCTACCTTCTACGATGAAGCCTACTTTTTCAGATAAAGTTGTTATTATAAATATAATCGTATTGCGTTGTACGTCAGTTAGTGTTTTGTCTTGTCTTTTATTGTTTAAAGTTTCTTGTAATCTTCTTATATGCCCCATTTCCGTTCTGACCGCTATTACAGCTAGTCTATCTTCTTCGTACGCTTCTATAAGATCGTTTATAACTCTATTGAAAGTATTTTCGTCGTTAAATAAATAGTCGTAGTTTATCCCAGGTAGCAACGAGTAAATAAAATCTCTATCTGTTCTTACTGCTATATCTGAGTCAACCTGTTCGTATCTTCTACCATCATCAGGTCTTTCAGCTGGTCTCCCATCTATTTGCGTATACCAATCAATCTCCGTGGCGCTGGAAATATTAAAATATCCGGGGTTAAACATCACCCTTTTTACGCGTACAGATTTTTGGCCGTTTAGATTATTTACAACGTCTTCTAATTTAAACGTCTGCTCATTTTGAAACAAGTGAAACGAATGCATTTATTTTAAAGTCTTTTTATATTAAAACTGAAACTAAAATAATGAGTGATTTTAAGTCGTTAAAAAAGCAGATACTAGCTATAGCCGATCAGGTAACGAAACAAGTAAATCAAAATGTAGCCAAGGCAAACGAGCTAAAGCATCAAGCTGCACCCCAAGCAAAGTTTTTAAACAGTACTTAACCCAGTGAACTGGAGGTCATAGTTAATATATCAACGGGTTTTTAAGCTCGTTTCCCGACTTAACCTCGGACTATAAATTGCCTCACGTTGAGACGGACGAAGATGTAGATCGTTGGAAATCACACCCCATGTCGTTTTATCAAAATCAGTTAAATTTTGCGATCTACTGCGCTACTACGGGGTGCGGTGTTGGATTCGATCTTTTAAACGCGAGCAACCGTTACGTTTGGGCCATCTTTAACTTTCATTTATATTTTACGGTTAGAAAGATCCTGTACGACTTTGCCGCTCCTTTACCGGGAGATGACGCATTTAACGCTCTAGACAACAGTTATAATCACAGAGCATTTACCGATACCTGTTTGTTGTTTGGCATAGATCAAAACAAGTCTTTTAAACAGACGAGAGACACAAAATCTAACGGTTTGGGTACCTCGTACAGCTTTAATAAGGGCAAGTTTTTGGCGGTTGGCGAATACGATAGAGCATTACCCGACAAACCCAACGTTATTTACGGCGGCTATCACGGTCTAGACAGTCCTAAAAAGAGTGGAAGCAGTTACGTTCCTTGGACGGTTATTTACATCGAACAAAATGAATCGGTACAAAAGGCTTGGTTAGATTTTATACCCGACAAAAGTTCGTTTACCCCCGCGGGAATCATAAAGATCAACGAATCGATCAGATCTTACGTGTACGCTTTACTCGGTGCGCAGGCTCAAACAAAAACGAGCGTATTAACACCGGGCACCGGATTAAACGCTCAGAGACAATTTAACGTCATCGTTGAAGATATCATCAATGCAGTAGACGACATGGAAACGAGTATCGATCAATTTCAAGACTCTTTGCAGTATGCCAGAACGCCTTTAAATTTTGTCGTGAAACCGGGGTTGTATTTAATTCCATCGGATATGAACTTGAGGGTTGGAACGCACGACGGCTATAACAACAATCTTCAAATCGCTACCCAGAGTATGAACACTGGTTTGGTGCCAGATTTAAACTCACAACCTCAACCGGACGACTCTTTTGATGACACCGATGACGTCGCGCCACCAACACCCCCAGAGCCTTTGA